TATCATTGTACAAAAGTGTCGTTTTAAAACAGTTCTCGATAGAAAAGTGACTTCTTAAAACAGTTTTCTATAAAATGATTATTCGTAAGATAGACTTCTATCAAAAGGTGTCTTTTATAGAAATACGTTGTTTTTTAAACAGTTTTCATATAAATTTGTCTTGCTAAAATTATTGTCTATTAAAACGTATTTTTTAATAAAGTTTTCTCTAGAAGTGTCTTCTTAATAAAGAATTCATTAAAAGAATGTCTCCCTAAGACAGTTTTCTATACAAAAGTGTCTTTTTAAGGCAGTTCTCTATAGAAAATTGACTTCCTAAAATTGTTATTTTATAAAAAGATTCTTCGTAAGGTAGTTTTCTATCGATAGGTGTCTTATATAGCTACATCACTTATTTCTAATTTCTTAATGCAGTTTCTACAGAATTCGGATTTTTATAGAAAAGTTCTTTATAGATAGTTTTCAAAAAATCTTAAAACTGAAACGGTTTTTAAACTAAGCAGCAAAGAAAACAACAACCATTGCCATCCAGCAGGCGTTTAAGTAAAACAAAGTGCAGTGGCTCTCAAACTATAAATACAAAACTAACAGAGTTACATTTGCATCAAATTATTCTTCGCGAATTACCAAAAACCAGCAAAAAATCAAAGTCTGATTTAGTGACAAAAGTTAACGAAAACAACCTAATTAATTCACCGCGTTCCCATGACAATTGGATCGGATCTTCGCTTCAGAACGATCAGAGTCATACTCGAGCAAAGATTGTCAACCCAGCGACAGCTGTATCAATCGAAAGTTTTCCGTAGGAAAGAACTATAGGCCACAGTTGATCTGTTACAACAATAACAACCTAATTCACCGGCAATTTAAGGTGATAAAATCAAAATATTTAAAAACCTAAGAAAGTGTAAAAATAGTAGTAATTATTTGCTAAATATGAAAAAATGTGTTGTTTGTACTTAGGCGCCATTAAAACTTTAAGTGATTGCTTTTGTCGTTGGTATTTTAGGAAAATAAAATACCTATATATTTTAAGTCTTAACTTCATAAACCGTAAACCAAAAGTTGCCGAAAGTATTATTTAGGACATTTTAAACTGCTGAATTCGAAATTACATCTAAAAACGATATATGAAGTTTATGTGGTACATATTTTAAATTGCTTTTTTCTGAAATATAAACTTGCCAGTTTGCTTCCATTTAGTACAGAAAAGCATCTTCTTAGTCTTTGGTTGTTGTCTATGCTAAGTTGTAGTAGGTTTTAACACCATTTTAGGCTGTTTCATATATTAATAATTTTATTCTATTTTAAATCACAAGTCTATACAATGTTGCCAGAAATATTTTGTCTCAACATTTTGGAAATGTCCATATGTCTGATTATACGTTTCTAGAGTCAATATTGTATAAAAATCAAAAAGTAGATTCTCATTTACTCAAGATTCTGCATGTTTAATTTCACAGTTTAGTATTCGATATTAAAGGAAACTCAAAAAGTATTAATCCAATAACGAAAAGTTAGCAAAAAGTGCTCTTTGACAGATTTTCATTTACTCAGGACTCTCCATTGACGAATCTTTTGACTACGCAATAAATAGACAATTTTATAGAAGAGTCAATTGACTAGTAGTAAGATTAATCCATGTACTTATCAATAGATTAGTCCCTATATAATCTAATCCATTGCACTAGTCGTTTGAAATTCATAGAGTAATCTCTCTACAATAGATTAATCATTGGACTTGTAAATAGGCTAGTCCTCAGAAGGGTCAAGGGACAAGTATATTAACTAACCAATAGTTAATGGACATGCCCATGAATTAATTTATTGAGTAGACAATTCACTAATTTCGGAACTAATATATTGACTGGTCAATAGATTAGTCTAGGTACTTTTCAATCGACAAGGAATAGTCTACTTACTTATCCATTAATTAGTTATTGATTATTCTATGAACTAATTTGTTTACTAGTCTATTGACTGTTTAATATAGAAATGTATTAATTAACAAGTTATGTTCTATTTAAAAACAATATATATCCAAAAGAACTTTGGAAGAATGTTACAAATAACTCCGAGTACCTATTATAACAATTCTAAATAAAACTGGACTGTTTCAAACATGATATTTTTACAATAGTTTTAATGGTGGAAATATTCCGTAATTTATTAAATTAACTTACCAATATTTTCTATTGAATTTTATGGTTCAACGAACTTTAATGTATCCTAGTCCGTTTTTTAAATCTTTACAAATCAAGCACCATGAGATTCTATTCCTCCTGAATAGCAACAGGTCAGTTTATTAATAATATATTTAAAAATTTAATTCTTTCACTTTTAACACATTTTTGTGCGTATTTTTTTTCTATTAAATTTACAAATTTTCCCGTTACATTTTTTTGACACATTTACATGTGTATTTGTAGCATTATTCTTTTAAATAGGATTGCCACGCCATATTATAAATTGTTTAAACCCAGAAAAATAATCAAATGTATAAATACGGATAAATGCAACAAACAAGCAGTACATAAACAAAATATGAAAACTAAAAACATATTACATAGATATTATTATTAGTATAAGAAAAGAAATTGAAATTCCCAAAAATACAGAAAAAATAATAAAAATATCACCAAATTCCTCCCCTCGAAAATCTGTCAACAGTATATAACTATTGAGTTGCAATTAAAGGCGCATTGTGAACAAGGCCTTATTGTTGGAGACGAAATAATTTTAATTTTGTAATTTTATTAATAATGTAATAAATAACTATTAACAATTTAGCAAATAAACTTATAAATAAAACTATTATTGTTGGAATCATCAGTATCATATCTGAGTTTAACGACCGAGTAGCCCTCAATGTATGAAGAGCAATCAATGATTACAAAACCCAGAGACCAAAGTACATACATACATACATATACTGGGGGTTGTGGATTCAGTAGCATTAAGCTGCCCTGTTAATGTTAATTTAAATAATTTAAATTTTAAAAGTTATAAAATTCAACGAAATATTTATACAACTTAATAGCTAAACTACAACTGAACAGCTGGTAATGAGTTTTAATGTGGTTAGTTTTTATTATGTAGAAACTTAAGTTCAATTTTTACTGGAAATCAATATTTTAAAAATATTATTTGTGGTTTTTGTATGTATGTAATACATTATAAACATTGATTTTAAATAAATAGACAAGTACTTTTGACACTGGGACAATGATTAAACAAATTCTTTACACACAGAACTGAACTAAAACCAGAACTAAACTAAAACCAGAACTGAACTAGAACTGAACTAGAACTAAACTAGAACTGAACTAGAACTGAACTAGAACTGAGCTAGAACTGAACTAGAACTGAACTAGAACTGAACTATAACTGAACTAGAACTGGAAGCTAGAACTGACTAGAACTGAACTAGAACTGAACTAGAACTGAACTAGAACTGAACTAGAACTGAACTAGAACTGACTAGAACTGAACTAGAAACTGAACAAGAACTGAACTAGAACTGAACTAGAACTGAACTAGAACTGAACTAGAACTGAACTAGAACTGAACTAGAACTGAACTAGAACTGAACTAGAACTGAACTAGAATTGAACTAGAACTGAACTAGAACAGAACTAGAACTGAACTAGAACTAGAACTGAACTAGAACTGAACTAGAACTGAACTAGAACTGAACTAGAACTGAACTAGAACTGAACTAGAACTGAACTAGAACTGAACTAGAACTGAACTAGAACTGAACTAGAACTGAACTAGAACTGAACTAGAACTGAACTAGAACTGAACTAGAACTGAACTAGAACTGAACTAGAACTGAACTAGAACTGAACTAGAACTGAACTAGAACTGAACTGAACTGACCTAGAACTGACTAGAACTGAACTAGAACTGAACTAGAACTGAACTAGAACTGAACTAGAACTGAACTAGAACTGAACTAGAACTGAACTAGAACTGAACTAGAACTGAACTAGAACTGAACTAGAACTGAACTAGAACTGAACTAGAACTGAACTAGAACTGAACTAGAACTGAACTAGAACTGAACTAGAACTGAACTAGAACTGAACTAGAACTGAACTAGAACTGAACTAGAACTGAACTAGAACTGAACTAGAACTGAACTAGAACTGAACTAGAACTGAACTAGAACTGAACTAGAACTGAACTAGAACTGAACTAGAACTGAACTAGAACTGAACTAGAACTGAATTAGAACTAAACTAGAACTGAACTAGAACTGAACTAGAACTGAACTAGAACTGAACTAGAACTGAACTAGAACTGAACTAGAACTGAACTAGAACTGAACTGAACTAGAACTGAACTAGAACTGAACAAGAACTGAACTAGAACTGAACTAGAACTGAACTAGAACTGAACTAGACTGAACTAGAACTGAACTAGAACTGAACTAGAACTGAACTAGAACTGAACTAGAACTGAACTAGAACTGAACTAGAACTGAACTAGAACTGAACTAGAACTGAACTAGAACTGAACTAGAACTGAACTAGAACTGAACTAGAACTGAACTAGAACTGAACTAGAACTGAACTAGAACTGAACTAGAACTGAACTAGAACTGAACTAGAACTGAACTAGAACTGAACTAGAACTGAACTAGAATTGAACTAGAACTGAACTAGAACTGAACTAGAACTGAATTAGAACTGAACTAGAACTAAACTCAACTGAACTAGAACGTAACTAGAACTGAACTAGAACTGAACTAGAACTGAACTAGAACTGAACTAGAACTGAACTAGAACTGAACTAGAACTGAACTAGAACTGAACTAGAACTGAACTAGAACTGAACTAGAACTGAACTAGAACTGAACTAGAACTGAACTAGAACTGAAATAGAACTGAACTAGAACTGAACTAGAACTGAACTAGAACTGAACTAGAACTAGAACTGAACTAGAACTGAACTAGAACTGAACTAGAACTGAACTAGAACTGAACTAGAACTGAACTAGAACTGGACTAGAACTGAACTAGAACTGGACTAGAACTGAACTAGAAATAAAACTGGTTTAAAATTCAGTTATACATTTTCAAAAACCTTTTTTGTAAAGAGAAATCATTTGTCGTTATCATAAGAATTTAAAACTCGAGAATAAATTAATAAATACTCAATTAGAATCTAAGTAATTTTCAAAAGGGTAAATTCGCTGTTTCAGCTCTATATAAAATCTTAAAAATAGTTTTTAAAACCTGCGTTGTTTTGAAGAAATGCACTCTTCTTAGTAAATTAAGCAAATTCGGAATATATTCTACAGTTTGGAAGACGATATGAAAAATTAGCAAATTTTCAAGACTAAAGCAGCCCAATCGAAAAATGCATGGTAAATATACTATGAAAAGTGATTTCCGTTACTTTAACAATTAGAAAATATCTACTAAAATAAAGTTAAACTAAACTAATATGATATAATTAATAATACTACTCTAATATGGCTTAAAAATACCTTAAAATATATGAAAATGTGTTTTCAAGTTAAAATAAACTAATAAAATACTTAAGATTGGCAAAGAATAAAGAATGGATGATTTCAGCTTAATCGATGAAGCTTCACTAGCAAAATCGTCAGGTATTCTTTCAATAATCTCAGGCACTGATCTATACACTTTGCGATTATTTAAAGGTTGTACTGGACGAAAATTGTGTGTGAGAGATGAACCATCAAAAGTCTTCAAATAACGGAAACGTTCAATCTGTCAACATTTAATAAGGAATCAGTTGTTTATTAAAATTATTGCAGATAAAAACAAACTTACCAAATCCTCTGATATGCCTATGGGATTTATAAAATCAATCCAGATAACATCTTCACTGCAAGGTGGTGTGGTCAATGAACCAATGTAAGTATAATATCTATTTAAGTCTTTGGGCAATAAACTCCATAAATCCATGGTTTCTTTTAATGTTGCATTGGTGTGTGGTTCATGGATTAATTCTAAATGTGTAGTCAAGTTATCATATTCGAAATTTGTGTAATTGCCAATCTAAAAGAGTAAAAAAAAATTGCAGTTAAACATGATTTAAGGGGTATTATATGAAATAAAATAATTAATTATTGGCTTTTGTTGTACAAAAGTGTTTAAGGTCAAGAAAATAGTTTAAAACTAATAATAATGAAAATAATGTATGAACATGAAATAAATTAATTTTAATTGCAAATAATTAGTGGTTTTGTTAAAAGCCGCAAGTGTTTTTATTTAAGTAGATATTTTAAATTAGATTATAAACATTATATAACACAAGCTAATATACAAACTATGTATTTTAAATAATTTATTTTTTGTTGTAAATTATGTAGAAAACCATCAATTACAAGCAGAAGAACTAAAACCGTACAAGAACTGAAAATGAACTACAACTAAACTAGAATTGAACTAGAACTGAACAAGAGCTGAACTATAATTGAACTGAACTAGAACTGAACTAGATCAGAGCTAGAACTGAACTAGAACTGAACTAGAACTGAACTAGAACTGAACTAGAACTGAACTAGAACTGAACTAGAACTGAACTAGAACTGAACTAGAACTGAACTAGAACTGAACTAGAACTGAACTAGAACTGAACTAGAACTGAACTAGAACTGAACTAGAACTGAACTAGAACTGAACTAGAACTGAACTAGAACTGAACTAGAACTGAACTAGAACTGAACTAGAACTGAACTAGAACTGAACTAGAACTGAACTAGAACTGAACTAGAACTGAACTAGAACTGAACTAGAACTGAACTAGAACTGAACTAGAACTGAACTAGAACTGAACTAGAACTGAACTAGAACTGAACTAGAAGTGAAATAGAACTGAACTAGAACTGAACTAGAACTGAACTAGAACTGTACTAGAACTGAACTAGAACTGAACTGGAACTAAACTAGAACTGAACTAGAACTGAACTAGAACTGAACTAGAACTGAACTAGAACTGAACTAGAACTGAACTAGAACTGAACTAGAACTGAACTAGAACTGAACTAGAACTGAACTAGAACTGAAATAGAATTGAAATAGAACTGAACTAGAACTGGACTAGAACTGAACTAGAACTGAACTAGAACTTAACTAGAACTGAACTAGAACTGAACTAGAACTGAACTAGAATTGAACTAGAACTGAACTAGAACTAAACTGAACTAGAACAGTAATAGAATTAAACAAAAAGTTAATTAAAACTTAACTGGTTTTTGAATACATTTTACTTGTTAATTTATTATAATTATTTAACAGTAAAGCTTACCTCATAAAATGCCGCCATTACCAAAACTCCATCGTCTCTTCTCACAGCCTCCTCAAAGCTGTCATATTTACTATTACGGAAAACGACATGTAATTCCATGGGATAGGCCACGTCATTAATACGATCCTCACTGCCTACCGTATTATCTTCGCCCCAATGAAAGTGTAACTGTTGAAATTGATAAGTACCCTTTCCCTCCAAAGGACCCTCCGAAATAGTTGGTATATCACCTTCATAGGACAATTTAACCAAAACTGTATGACCATTATTGAAAATTGTGGCCTCCAAAGGTATTTTGTCAAAATTTTTATACAGCATTTCTGTATAAGTACGATTTACCACATCAACATCATTTATGTTAATAGGACTTTGATGTTTACCCGAACACTGATTGTAATGTTCACTCCAATGATCCGGACCCATATTACCGAAATAAGTGAATTCGGATTCTGGTTGGACTGAAAGTAATTAATTAAAACATTTCTTTGTAATTAAGTTATTTAATTATGGAAAATTTTCTCAAAAACTATTTTGTAAACAACTAAATTATAATTTCTTTATAAGTTTGTGAATATAAAATTATTTAGATTTATCATTTGTTGTTAGTAATTGATTCAAATTAACATTACATTTTGCTAATTTCAATTTGAGATACGTAAATATTTTATTTTTTAGTAATATTATCGTAATAATGATAATAATGTTTATAGAAATTATTATTTTGTATGGGAATAATATTCAGTTTAGTTTAAGAATGTGAATTTCTTTGAATAATGTATTTTTTTGTGTTTTTGCATTTAACAGCAATTAAATGCCATTATTTACTGTGTTTCTGTAAATTATCAAATAATGCATTTTTGTTGATAAATAGGCTCATTATCTATTATATGTAGCTTTATTAACTGAATGAATTTAGTGGGTATTTTTCCCTTATTATAAAATAAATTATCTTATATCTTAGGTTAGTTAGTGTTTCACATATTTTAGGAAATTCCTTTAAGCAATTTGCATTTACTCATGTCATCAACATGTGAAGCTGATTTGAAGGTAATTTATATTACAATGGAAAAGTAGATAGATAGATATATAGATAGATAGATAGATAGATAGATAGATAGATAGATAGATAGATAGATAGATAGATAGATAGATAGATAGATAGATAGATAGATAGATAGATAGATAGATAGATAGATAGATAGATAGATAGATAGATAGATAGATAGATAGATAGATAGATAGATAGATAGATAGATAGATAGATAGATAGATAGATAGATAGATAGATAGATAGATAGATAGATAGATAGATAAATAGATAGATAGATAGATAGATAGATAGATAGATAGATAGATAGATAGATAGATAGATAGATAGATAGATAGATAGATAGATAGATAGATAGATAGATAGATAGATAGATAGATAGATAGATAGATAGATAGATAGATAGATAGATAGATAGATAGATAGATAGATAGATAGATAGATAGATAGATAGATAAATAGATAGATAAATAGATATCTAGAAATATTTAGAACTGAACTAGAACTAAACTAGAACTGAACTAGAACTGAAGTAGAACTGAACTAGAACTGAACTAGAACTGAACTAGAACTGAACTAGAACTGAACTAGAACTAGAACTGAACTAGAACTGAACTAGAACTGAACTAGAACTGAACTAGAACTGAACTAGAACTGAACTAGAACTGAACTAGAACTGAACTAGAACTGAACTAGAACTGAACTAGAACTGAACTAGAACTGAACTAGAACTGAACTAGAACTGAACTAGAACTGAACTAGAACTGAACTAGAACTGAACTAGAACTGAACTAGAACTGAACTAGAACTGAACTAGAACTGAACTAGAACTGAACTAGAACTGAACTAGAACTGAACTAGAACTGAACTAGAACTGAACTAGAACTGAACTAGAACTGAACTAGAACTGAACTAGAACTGAACTAGAACTGAACTAGAACTGAACTAGAACTGAACTAGAACTGAACTAGAACTGAACTAGAACTGAACTAGAACTGAACTAGAACTGAACTAGAACTGAACTAGAACTGAACTAGAACTGAACTAGAACTGAACTAGAACTGAACTAGAACTGAACTAGAACTGAACTAGAACTGAACTAAACTGAACTAGAACTGAACTAGAACTGAACTAGAACTGAACTAGAACTGAACTAGAACTGAACTAGAACTGAACTAGAACTGAACTAGAACTGAACTAGAACTGAACTAGGACTGAACTAGAACTGAACTAGAACTGAACTAGAACTGAACTAGAACTGAACTAGAACTGAACTAGAACTGAACTAGAACTGAACTAGAACTGAACTAGAACTGAACTAGAACTGAACTAGAACTGAACTAGAAATAAAACTGGAACTGAACTAGAACTGAACTAGAACTGAACTAGAACTGAACTAGAACTGAACTAGAACTGAACTAGAACTGAACTAGAACTGAACTAGAACTGAACTAGAACTGAACTAGAACTGAACTAGAACTGAACTAGAACTGAACTAGAACTGAACTAGAACTGAATTAGAAGTGAACTATTCAATGGATGTTTTTTTCTGGGTATATAGATGATATTTCCGTTATCCGTAATTATTTCTGTATATTCCGTACCCACTGTGCAACATGTAAAACTACATAAACATTTCTATTTTAAAAAATTTTATTATTTAACATCCAAAATAAATAATATTATGGCATTTAAACAAATATCAAAAATTATTCATATGTTTGTACAAGATATTTTCATGTGCCTACTCGATGTACATCCGCCTTACACATAAATATTCATGAATTAATTCGTAATAAATTTAGAAATTTAATAAAAGAAATTAATTATTTCATTTTTACTTTTTGTTTTGTACTTACCGCAACTTATTAATGTGGCCAAAATTATAGCTGACAATGTGAAATTTCTAATTTTAAACATTTTTTTTTTTTTTGAGTTTTAATTTAATTTTAACACAGTTGCTTTGGATCAATTAGATCAAAATTTTCAACACGCTATAGTTAGAGTGTGTGTGTGGTTGTGTTCGTAAATTTTTAAAATATGTAATGGTATTTTTTGTATTTTTGCTAAAAAAGTAAACATATTTAAATTTAAAACGTTTTAGTTTTTATTTGTTTATTTTTTGGTTTAATTGCAAAATTTACTGTAGACAATATGTAGTTATTGTTTGAAAACCCATTAATCTAATGGTTTATAAACAATTTTGACAATTGATTTTTTGTTAACGTGACCAACTATATTTGCTTTTTATTAAGTGTTGTTTTGCGTTTTTTTTGCAAACTATTTTAATGGGTTTAGATTAAATTAAGTTTAATTTGTATGTATGTATCATAAAAAAATTATAAAAAATAATTAAATATCACACGAATTTCAATATTTCTAGGAAAATAATAAAATAGTTTGTTTATTTAGAGTAATTGGTAAATATGATCGATCATTTAAAGTTTTATATACTGTATGAGATCCCTACAGCACGCATACACGAATATAGTCTAGTCTATAGTCTAGTCTATAGTCTAGTCTATAGTCTAGTCTATAGTCTAGTCTATAGTCTAGTCTATTAGTCTAGTCTATAGTCTAGTCTATAGTCTAGTCTATAGTCTAGTCTATAGTCTAGTCTATAGTCTAGTCTATAGTCTAGTCTACTAGTCTATAGTCTAGTCTATAGTCTAGTCTATAGTCTAGTCTATAGTCTAGTCTATAGTCTAGTCTATAGTCTAGTCTATAGTCTAGTCTATAGTCTAGTCTATAGTCTATAGTCTATAGTCTAGTCTATAGTCTAGTCTATAGTCTAGTCTATAGTCTAGTCTATAGTCTAGTCTATAGTCTAGTCTATAGTCTAGTCTATAGTCTAGTCTATAGTCTAGTCTATAGTCTAGTCTATAGTCTAGTCTATAGTCTAGTCTATAGTCTAGTCTATAGTCTAGTCTATAGTCTAGTCTATAGTCTAGTCTATAGTCTTCTATAGTCTAGTCTATAGTCTAGTCTATAGTCTAGTCTATAGTCTAGTCTATAGTCTAGTCTATAGTCTAGTCTATAGTCTAGTCTATAGTCTAGTCTATAGTCTAGTCTATAGTCTAGTCTATAGTCTAGTCTATAGTCTAGTCTATAGTCTAGTCTATAGTCTAGTCTATAGTCTAGTCTATAGTCTAGTCTATAGTCTAGTCTATAGTCTAGTCTATAGTCTAGTCTATAGTCTAGTCTATAGTTAGTCTATTTAGTCTAGTCTATAGTCTAGTCTATAGTCTAGTCTATAGTCTAGTCTATAGTCTAGTCTATAGTCTAGTCTATAGTCTAGTCTATAGTCTAGTCTATAGTCTAGTCTATAGTCTAGTCTATAGTCTAGTCTATAGTCTAGTCTATAGTCTAGTCTATAGTCTAGTCTATAGTCTAGTCTATAGTCTAGTCTATAGTCTAGTCTATAGTCTAGTCTATAGTCTAGTCTATAGTCTAGTCTTCTAGTCTAGTCTATAGTCTGTCTATAGTCTAGTCTATAGTCTAGTCTATAGTCTAGTCTATAGTCTAGTCTATAGTCTAGTCTATAGTCTAGTCTATAGTCTAGTCTATAGTCTAGTCTATAGTCTAGTCTATAGTCTAGTCTATAGTCTAGTCTAGTCTAGTCTATAGTCTAGTCTATAGTCTAGTCTATAGTCTAGTCTAGTCTAGTCTATAGTCTAGTCTATAGTCTAGTCTAGTCTAGTCTAGTCTAGTCTAGTCTATAGTCTAGTCTATAGTCTAGTCTATAGTCTAGTCTATAGTCTAGTCTATAGTCTAGTTATAGTCTAGTCTATAGTCTAGTCTACAGTCTAGTCTATAGTCTAGTCTATAGTCTAGTCTATAGTCTAGTCTATAGTCTAGTCTATAGTCTAGTCTATAGTCTAGTCTATAGTCTAGTCTATAGTCTATTCATAGTCTAGTCTATAGTCTAGTCTATAGTCTAGTCTAGTCTAGTATAGTCTAGTCTATAGTCTAGTCTATAGTCTAGTCTATAGTCTAGTCTATAGTCTAGTCTATAGTCTAGTCTATAGTCTAGTCTATAGTCTAGTCTATAGTCTAGTCTATAGTCTAGTCTATAGTCTAGTCTATAGTCTAGTCTATAGTCTAGTCTATAGTCTAGTCTATAGTCTAGTCTATAGTCTAGTCTATAGTCTAGTCTATAGTCTAGTCTATAGTCTAGTCTATAGTCTAGTATAGTCTAGTCTATAGTCTAGTCTATAGTAGTCTATAGTCTAGTCTATAGTCTAGTCTATAGTCTAGTCTATAGTCTAGTCTATAGTCTAGTCTATAGTCTAGTCTATAGTCTAGTCTATAGTCTAGTCTATAGTCTAGATATAGTCTAGTCTATAGTCTAGTCTATAGTCTAGTCTATAGTCTAGTCTATAGTCTAGTCTATAGTCTAGTATATAGTCTAGTCTATAGTCTAGTCTATAGTCTAGTCTAGTCTATAGTCTAGTCTATAGTCTAGTCTATAGTCTAGTCTATAGTCTATTCTATAGTCTAGTCTATAGTCTAGTCTATAGTCTAGTCTATAGTCTAGTCTATAGTCTAGTCTATAGTCTAGTCTATAGTCTAGTCTATAGTCTAGTCTATAGTCTAGTCTATAGTCTAGTCTATAGTCTAGTCTATAGTCTAGTCTATAGTCTAGTCTATAGTCTAGTCTATAGTCTAGTCTATAGTCTAGTCTATAGTCTAGTCTATAGTCTAGTCTATAGTCTAGTCTATAGTCTAGTCTATAGTCTAGGTCTAGTCTAGTCTAGTCTATAGTCTAGTCTTAGTAGTCTAGTCTATAGTTTAGTCTATAGTCTAGTCTATAGTCTAGTTTTATAGTCTAGTCTATAGTCTAGTCTATAGTCTAGTCCATAGTCTAGTCTATAGTCTAGTCTATAGTCTAGTCTATAGTATAGTCTAGTCTAGTCTATAGTATAGTCTAGTCTAGTGACTAGATATATGACTCAGAAGGAGTCTTGTAACGACTTACAAATAACCTCATATGCAAATACTTACATTTCGTGAGATATTTATTTGGCATTGCATTTACAAGGTTTATTTGCAATGACTTTTAGTACTTCAAAATTTGCTTTATTTTACTACAGTCACAGTTTCATAGACTATTTGTTTATGAGGTCTTTAAAAAACTATTGAATTTTTGGACATATTTACTATGTTTGCAAGAGTAATTTGCTACAAAGAGTATGTAATATGAAGTTCATTTATTTAAGTATTTTTTTCTGTTCAAATATTTTTTATGACATTTACTGTACGTATATTATTTAATAAAGTTATTACCACATATTTTGCCCAAATTTAAAAATTCAGATTTTACATTTGTTTTAAATTTTTTTTTTAAACTTTCACTTTCATTTTAAAACCCAAATAGTTGGTCACACTCAAAATAATTTGTTATACATATTGAAATAAACTTTGCAACACTTCCAAGTCTAGCAATTTATGAATGAAATAACAACAATTATTTATTTTATAGAGATGTTGTTCTTTTATGTATTTATATTTTTATGTACCATATATTAGTTAAATTTTCATGAATGTTTTAAAACACTTTTTAAAATTTAATTTAATATTTCTTTATTATTATAATTTTCTAAAACGTTTAAAGTTTTATTTTAACACCTTTTTCTTTGTAATAAATTAAAAATAAAATATCATTTAAATAAAAATCTTCCTTAAATGATCACAAATGTGTCTATCGCACATTTGAGCGTTTGTTGAAATGGCACGTTCGTATTTAAGCTCTATTTTAGACGGAATAAATTCGATGTTCAGTTATAGTAGTGTTTTGCCGACGATTTTGAACAATTTTTCAAAACAATAAACACACAAACGAACAAAAACAATTTAGTCGGCGGAAAACCACCAAAAATATATTGTTTTTTTTTTTTTTTTTTTTTGTTTTGTATTGGTTTTTTACACTTCACATACACAAATACATCAGTCCAGCAAAATTACTACAACCGTATGTATGTCAAAACATTAGACAGTTAGAAAGAGCTATAGGGTTTTGAGTGTAAATAAGAGAAAATTTGTAACCAATAATTAACCGATCAACCGTCCGACCAACAACAACTGCCAGCAGCCAATAACTTATAGAAAATACAAAGCATTTTAATTGTCATCACTCAATCGTAATGTAGTTTCATTTCTTTATATTCTTCATTCACTTTTACGTTTTGAAATCGAGATGTGAATACAAGAAATATAAACTAACATTTTTTGATTCTACTATATTAGGAAGACCATATAAGTACACTAAACTATAAAGCGACCAGGCTGTAGTAAAGACCATAGACTAGACCTTTGAATAGAATATAGACCAAGCTATAGGCTAGGCAATGACTAGACTGTAAACTTAACTATACTAGATTGTAAACCAGACTATAGACTAGACAATAACCCAGGCTATAAACTAAACTAGACTATAGAATAGACTATAGACTAGACTATAGACTAGACTATGGACTAGACTATGGACTAGACTATAGACTAGACCATAGACTAGACTATAGACTAGACTATAGACTAGACTATAGACTAGACTATAGACTAGACTAGACTATAGACTAGACTATAGACTAGACTATAGACTAGACTATAGACTAGACTATAGACTAGACTATACTATAGACTAGACTATAGACTAGACTATAGACTAGACTATAGACTGGACTATAGACTAGACTATAGACTAGACTATAGACTAGACTATAGACTAGACTATAGACTAGACTATAGACTAGACTATAGACTAGACTATAGACTAGACTATAGACTAGACTATAGACTAGACTATAGACTAGACTATAGACTAGACTATAGACTAGACTATAGACTAGACTATAGACTAGACGATAGACTAGACTATAGACTAGACTATAGACTAGACCATAGACTAGACTATAGACTAGACTATAGACTAGACTATAGACTAGACTATAGACTAGACTATAGACTAGACTATAGACTAGACTATAGACTAGACTATAGACTAGACTATAGACTAGACTATAGACTAGACTATAGACTAGACTATAGACTAGACTATAGACTAGACTATAGACTAGACTATAAACTAGACTATAGACTAGACTATAGACTAGACTATAGACTAGACTATAGACTAGACTATAGACTAGACTATAGACTAGACTATAGACTACACTATAGACTAGACTATAGACTAGACTATAGACTAGACTATAGACTAGACTACAGACTAGACTATAGACTAGACTATAGACTACACTATAGACTAGACTATAGACTAGACTATAGACTAGACTATAGACTAGACTATAGACTAGACTATAGACTAGACTATAGACTAGACTATAGACTAGACTATAGACTAGACTATAGACTAGACTATATCTAGACTATAGACTAGACTATAGACTAGACTATAGACTAGACTATAGACTAGACTATAGACTAGACTATAGACTAGACTATAGACTAGACTATAGACTAGACTATAGACTAGACTATAGACTAGACTATAGACTAGACTATAGACTAGACTATAGACTAGACTATAGACTAGACTATAGACTAGACTATAGACTAGACTATAGACTAGACTATAGACTAGACTAGACTAGACTATAGACTAGACTATAGACTAGACTATAGACTAGACTATAGACTAGACTATAGACTAGACTATAGACTAGACTATAGACTAGACTATAGACTAGACTATAGACTAGACTATAGACTAGACTATAGACTAGACTATAGACTAGACTATAGACTAGACTATAGACTAGACTATAGACTAGACTATAGACTAGACTATAGACTAGACTATAGACTAGACTATAGATAGACTATAGACTATAGACTAGACTATAGACTATAGACTAGACTATAGACTAGACTATAGACTAGACTATAGACTAGACTATAGACTAGACTATAGACTAGACTATAGACTACACTATAGACTAGACTATAGAATATACTATGGACGAGATTATACACTATAGACTAGGCTATAGGCCTAATCCATAGACTAGACTAAAGACTAGCTATGGATTAGACTATAGATTAGACTATACACCAGATTATAGACTAGACTATACACTAGATTTTATACTAGGCTATAAACTAGACTATAGAAAAGGCTTTAGACTAGACTATGACTATATAGATTACACTATACATACATGTGTATGTGAAATATTCAAAGTTTAATGCAAATAACTTGAATTGGGAAAAGTGCAAGAATTTGCCAAACGCTGGTTAAAAATCACCAAATTTCCTGCTATTTGCATTTTTTAGTAATTGGCAACAGTGCTGCCTGTAATTGATATTAATATCGATAATTAATAATAATAGCAAATGACACTTGTAAGAAATAATCTTGATCAATAAATATGTACATTTGGTCACTCTATTTTTATTTAGTATAAAAACACAATTTAAAACAGTACATTTATATATTTCTAATGTTAGTTCTGCCTTTGTCTGTTTTTGTTGTTTTTATTTTAATTTTAAAGTGTCATAATTGTGATATTGCAATATGCAGGGAATGTTGTAAAAACACTATACAAATATAATTTTAATTACAGCAAATATACTTAATAATGATGTTTAACTTGTGGTTTATTAAAAAAAAAGAAATCAAACCATAAACATTTAATACACCTTTCAAATTGTTATAAATACCTGCTGAATATTGTTTAATAAAATAAGTCCGTTAAATTGTAAGTCTATTTGCTCTAAGCACTGGAAAATAAATGTTAAATATTTTTATAAAAAATCTAAATATTTTTGTTTGTACATATTTTCCGCTCTAATGCACAAATTATTTCAAAATTATTTTTGGGAAAATAATTCATTTTGACCCTGAAATTAAAGTTAACAACAAAATGTTAATATTATTTCTTTATGTAGTAACAGATAATGATTTAGTTCCTTCCCTTTTTTCCATTGTTCTCTCAATTTGTTAGTTATTTATTGAAAGTTGACTTTAGGTTAAAAAAATATATTTTAAATAAATTATAATAGAAATTAAATAAATTAATTTATTAAGATTTTTTTTCAATTCAAATTACTTAGTCATTTTCATTTGTTTATATATTTATTTATATAAATTACTAACAAAACTTACTAAATTATTTTGGCATGTTAGTTGTATGTAATATTTATGATTGACGTAAATTATTTAAATGGAATTTCGTAGAAAATTAATTAAAATATTTACGACCAGTAAGAGATTTAAACAAAACTTAAATAGTTTTTGTGGTTTAATAATGATGCAAATTTTTAATAGATTTATGGTATAGACTATACTAGACAATAGTCTAGACTATAGACTAGACAATAGACTAGATTATAGACTATACTATAGACTAGACTATACTAGATAATAATCTAGACTTATAGACTAGATTAAAGACTACACAATAGACTAGACTATAGAATATAGACAAGAAGACTAGACTATATACTAGAATATAGACTAAACTATAGAATAGGCAATAGACTAGACTATAGAATAGACTATAGACTAGACTAAAGACTAGACTAGAGACTAGACTATACACCAGACAACAGTCTACAGTATAGACTAGACAATAGTCTATAATATAGACTAGACAATAGTCTACACTATAGACTAGACTATAAACTAGACTATAGACTAGACAATAGACTAGACTACAGATACGACTAGACTATAGTTTAGACTAGACTATAAACTAGACTGGACTATAGACTAGACTAGACTATAGACTAGACTATAGACTAGACTATAGACTAGACTATAGACTAGACTATAGACTAGACTATAGACTAGACTATAGACTAGACTATAGACTAGACTATAGACTAGACTATAGACTAGACTATAGACTAGACTATAGACTAGACTATAGACTAGACTATAGACTAGACTATAGACTAGACTATAGACTAGACTATAGACTAGACTATAGACTAGACTATAGACTAGACTATAGACTAGACTATAGACTAGACTATAGACTAGACTATAGACTAGACTATAGACTAGACTATGACTAGACTATAGACTAGACTATAGACTAGACTATAGACTAGACTATAGACTAGACTATAGACTAGACTATAGACTAGACTATAGACTAGACTATAGACTAGATATGGACTAGACTATAGACTAGACTATAGACTAGACTATAGACTAGACTATAGACTAGACTATAGACTAGACTATAGACTAGACTATAGACTAGACTATAGACTAGACTATAGACTAGACTATAGACTAGACTATAGACTAGACTATAGACTAGACTATAGACTAGACTATAGACTAGACTATAGACTAGACTATAGACCTAGGACTATAGACTAGACTATAGACTAGACTATAGACTAGACTATAGACTAGACATAGACTAGGACTATAGACTAGACTATAGACTAGACTATAGACTAGACTATTGACTCAGACTATAGACTAGACTATAGACTAGACTATAGACTAGACTATAGACTAGACTATAGACTAGACTATAGACTAGACTATAGACTAGACTATAGACTAGACTATAGACTAGACTATAGACTAGACTATAGACTAGACTATAGACTAGACTATAGACTAGACTATAGACTAGACTATAGACTAGACTATAGACTAGACTATAGACTAGACTATAGACCTAGCTATAGACTAGACTATAGACCTAGACTATAGACTAGACTATAGACTAGACTATAGACTAGACTATAGGACTAGACTATAGACTAGACTATAGACTAGACTATAGACTAGACTATAGACTAGACTATAGACTAGACTATAGACTAGACTATAGACTAGACTATAGACTAGACTATAGACTAGACTATAGACTAGACTATAGACTAGACTATAGACTAGACTATAGACTAGACTATAGACTAGACTATAGACTAGACTATAGACTAGACTATAGACTAGACTATAGACTAGACTATAGACTAGACTATAGACTAGACTATAGACTAGACTATAGACTAGACTAGACTAGACTATAGACTAGACTATAGACTAGACTATAGACTAGACTATAGACTAGACTATAGACTAG